GTCCTGGCTCCACAATCGGGGTTTCGGGAGGGGGGGGCGAGCCACGGCTTGCCCGGGTCGTTGAAGTCGAGGCAGTTGAAGCAAAGCGATTTACTCCTTGGTCGTGCATCTTGAGTTGCTGGACAGCGGCAGGCTGGGCCGGTGCATTGCTTGATGAGCCGGATGCAGCACCAGGCGGCGGATAGTACGTTTTTTGATAGCTGGGATAATTGCTGTTGGAGGAGCCAGGGCGGTGGCTATCGGCCAGAGGACGTTGGAAAAGATCGATGTCGGCGTCAGGACTTGTGGGAGAGCTGATAGGTTTTGGGGCAGCTCCTCTTCGCTCAGCGAGGCCAGGTTTCTTTCCTAGTGGGCTAGTTTCTAGACGAGGGCTGGTGTCGTTGTATGCAGAGCCGAAGGGCTTCGCAGGAGTTGGTTTGCGAACGTCGTCGTCGTCCGGGAACGGCAAGGGAGCCGCAGAGCTGGAGGCGCCAGGAGGTAAAGGAAAAGAGTGCTTAGAGGCGGGAGATGTGGACGAAGGAGGCGCAGGATATCGGAAAGCAGATGATCTGCCATCTTTTGCGGGTTGGGGGCTCTGAGGCTTGAATATGCGCAAAGGTTCAACGGTAGGGCTGTCGCAGTCTTCAGGGGCAGGCTTGCTGAGAAACATCTCCTCATCTGGAACACCACGACTGCGCTCCATCTTGATATACGACGGAGCCTCTAATAGGCGACGGAAGATACGGAAGCGAAATGTGCGACAGTATGCGATATGCGATATGGGAGTTACCCAATGATGGCGGGGTAAGTGAGCGAGCAACAGAACGTCCTGTTTGGGCTTGATGATGCAGATGACAAGGCACAAAGGGGTCCGCGGTAGCTGGCCTGTTCTTGATCAACAAGTACAAACTTGAGAGGAGGTCAACAAAACTCTTGGGTGATGTGCCGTCTAGGTTTATCTTGTTTGAGTTGTTGGCTGAGCGGGGTTCGACCGTTTGGGCTGTATCGGCTGAAGTGACATGGGCGTACGTACAGGTAAAGTATGTAGGTACCTAGATTTGTAGTTAGTGCCTTCTGTCTCCCGTGGCGTTGGTTGTGCTTGTTTGTACCTGATTGAGGGTCCAGGAAAGTACTGAGGTAGGCCGCAGAAACGGTCGCGTAAGGTACAAAACTCTGTTGTTGGTTTCAGAAGAGTGGAAAAGTGATAAACAAGATTCTTTGTAAAGAACAAAAGAGCATCAATGAAAAAAAAGAAAGAAAAAATTAAAAGAGAAAAGGGGGAAAGGACAATCAAGAGGGGAAGAGGGTCTCTTCTTCTCAAGCGCCGTGGCCTGCTGGATCATACAGATTATGGGGAGCTTCCAATAGCGATACAGCTGTTGGGAGGCACCTCGTTAAAACGAAGTGAGGTGGCGTGGCGTGGCCCTCAACCGTAGAGAGGGAGCTTATAAGTACAGGGGTTTCCTAGTACCAAGCTAAGGTATAGTATAGTACCTTGGTAAGGTAAGGTAAGGTATGATTGAAACGTAGGCCGTTGGATTCTACAAACAGTGCGTACCTACCTACCTTAGTACCTAGGTATGAAGTCGTGGTAAGTACGGAAAGCTTGTGTCTTGTTACCTTAGAGTATTCCCATCATGGACGAAAGATAAGCACTATTCTCCCGGGCATAATGGAAGTAACTGCCCGAGTTAACCTAATAAGACACATCTTTCTTATCCGGCGGTAACAGCTTCAGGGGCATGAAATTCGTCACTCTCACAAGATAAATATCGAGCTCAGATAATCCCAAACTCACAACCTACTAATGTTTCAAAGACACCATGAATGATGACAAGCTCTGATTGGTTCCCCCGAACAAGCCGTAAGCGCCCGAGAGCTCGAGCTAAAGCTTGGAAGCCATCAAAAGCGGGACCTCGGGAAGAGCCTTGCAGGGTTTGGGGGCCAAAGAATAACGGGACGGTGGGGCATTTGGGGTAAAATCATGGATCATGAGAACTCTGGAGCTCATCATGGGTAGCAACATAGCCTCGATGCAAGCGCCCGTCCTCGAAGCCAAGAAATGCATGTGACCAACAAAGAATTATGTGATGACGAGATTGTGAGTTTTGGCGAGGTCCCTCCCTTCTGTGATAACTAGCACCCTTATTAGCACAAACCGAAGCAAATGACTGGCGCGAAGGTAAGTCGAGTCATTGGAGCTCCAAACATGTAACAGCAAACCTGAATTATAGGGTACCAAAATAAACTTATTAACAGTTATCCTAAGCTTAGACTATATTACCTAAGTCTTTTTGTCATTTAAGATCGAGGTTCTGTGTTTTCTTTCCTCCCCTAGATCAAGTCAAATATTTGATAGACATCATGAGGTGCATGTCAACGTCAATACAGAGTAGACTCTGACCAACCAGTGGCCTATGCTCTCATTGCCGGGGTTCGGCTGATCATTAATACTGTATCCGTATAAAGGATGGGTATACAAGTGATTACTTCTCAATGACCTATCCATTCATGTCCATAGTGCTTCCTACACCTCGTGGGCGTAGGTATTATAAGGAGTTTGCTGGGAAGTACTTAGCATGGATCTCGTGATTAAATTGCTCCAGTTAAGTTGCTGCCTCTGCTGAATCCGGACCAAGTTCAAAATGGGCGTTCTCTCTCTGCCTCATTAACGCGTTTCGGTCAAGCAAAATCCAGATCGAAGCCAACACTAAACAAGTACTTGCTAAGGTTGGGAGTACAGGAAGGACCTTTATGGATGGGTCATGATATCTCGAGGTACCTTATGCCTATCGGTCCCGAGTGCCTTCAAGGTTGCCTTAGTAAGGTACCTAAGGTGAGGTAGGTAGTAAGAAATGTGGGCCATTCAGCCACTCAACGCGTCTCAACTTCTTTAGACGCGCTTTCTCCAACGTCACCACCCAATTCACGGGGTAGATTAAGGGTATCAAATGTGAACACCCCCTATAGCTAATGCCATTTACAACACCCACAAACTCCTAATCTCCAACATGGCTCCCACTCCGAAATCGAGCGAGAAGAAACAACAGTCACTGACTTCATTCTTCACACCAAAGACCGTCAATGGCTTAGCAGCCGTCTTTGAGAAGCAAAGCCGAGCACAAGCAGTCAAGTCGCAGTCGCAGTCACAATCATCCAGTAAAGATAACGAGTCACCCTCACGAAAACGAGCTTTAGATGATGCAGGAAAGGAGAATGAGAAGCCTGGAAAGACTCTGAAAAGAGCTAGAGTTGATGACCCTCCAGCCAATGAAGACTCAAGCACATTCTTCTCCAGATCGAAAGCTGGCGATCAAGGGACTATAGGGACACGGACAGAAAGATACCGGTACGACGGCTCCAGTGCACCGACCACCCAAGATGGTGACAAGAGCACGGAGCCGATCCAGAATGAGGATGAAGATGCGGAAGAGAGGCGACAACACCAGGAGCTACATAAAAGATTCGTCAAGAAACTCGGCCACCCGGATGCACTTACATGGCGCCGCAGTCTCCAAGATGCTGTGCCGGCGGGTGAAGATGAAGATGCCGACGCTGATGAGGATGATGCTCCAGCCCCTGCAAAGACGAAGAAGAAGGGTTCCAAGACAGGCAAACTCACCCCTATGGAGATCCAGTTCCTTGACATCAAGAGAAAACACATGGACACAATCCTCATCATGGAAGTGGGTTACAAGTTTCGATTCCTTGGCGAGGATGCTCGCATAGCAGCCAAGGAGCTGAGTATTGTCTGCATTCCAGGCAAGATGCGTTATGATGAGCGTAAGTTATCATTCCTGCAGCCCTGAGCGCAAAATCTAACCTATACAGATCCATCAGAGGCCCATTTGGATCGCTTTGCCTCGGCGAGTATCCCGGTGCACCGTCTTCCGGTACACGCAAAGCGCCTGGTAGCTGCCGGACACAAAGTCGGTGTCGTTCGTCAAATCGAGACTGCAGCATTGAAGAAGGCTGGAGACAACCGCAATACCCCATTCGTCCGCAAGCTCACCAATCTCTACACAAAAGGTACCTATATCGATGAGAATGGTGAGCTCGACCAGAGCGGTGGTTCGGGAGCCCCCTCAGGCGATTATCTATTATGTATAACGGAATCCAAGGCCAAGGGATGGGGCACTGATGAGAAAGTTGATGTTGGCATCATTGCTGTACAGCCAGCAACCGGAGACATCATATACGACAACTTCGAAGACAGTTTCATGCGGAGTGAGATCGAAACGAGGCTCTTGCATATCTCCCCTTGCGAGTTCTTGATCGTAGGGGATTTAACCAAAGGTACCGATAAACTCGTGCAGCACTTATCAGGCACCAGCACAAATGTTTTTGGTGACCGGAGTCGAGTCGAGCGCGTTCCCAAAAGTAAGACCATGGCGGCTGAGGCGTACTCCCACGTCACTCAATTCTACGCGGACAAGCTCAAAGATAATGCCCAAGACGAAACTGCCGCCGCCCTTCTCGACAAAGTCTTGAAACTTCCTGAATCTGTCACCATCTGCCTCTCGGCTATGATCAATCATCTCCAAGAATACGGTCTCGAGCACATCTTTGATCTTACAAAGTACTTTCAGAGCTTCAGCACACGCTCACATATGCTAATCAATGGTACAACCCTCGAAAGCCTCGAAGTGTACCGCAATTCTACAGATCACTCCGAAAAGGGCAGCCTGTTCTGGGCGCTCGACAAGACACTCACGCGCCCAGGACATCGCCTACTCCGAAAATGGGTAGGACGTCCCCTGCTCGATCAACAACTTCTCGAGGCCCGTCTCGACGCCGTAGAGGAGCTTCTCGAGAAGCAATCAACCGTTCCTGTATCCCAGCTCGAGTCACTTTTGGCCAACACCAAAACCGATCTTGAACGCAGTCTTATCCGCATTTATTACGGCAAATGTACACGCCCAGAACTCCTCTCAGTGCTTCAGGCCCTCCAAAGGGTTGCGAGCTATTACTCAACCGTCAAGAGTCCTTCTGACGCCCCCTTCTCTTCCTCTCTCCTAAACGATGCTGTCTGTGCACTTCCACAAATTCTTGACACAGTTGTGTCCTATCTCGAGCGCATTAACCTTGTCGCAGCCCGGAAGGATGACAAATATGGCTTTTTCCGTGATGAATTTCAAACAGAGGATATGCAAGATCATCAACTTGGTATCGCTCATGTTGAGCACGAGCTAGATGGCCACCGTGCTGTTGCCGCTGAGAAGATCAAGAAGAAGACCGTCGAATATGTCACTGTTGCTGGCATCGAATATCTTATTGAGGTACCCAACACAGATATCAAAAACGTCCCTGCTTCTTGGGCCAAGATTTCTGGAACGAAGAAACTCTCACGCTTTCACACACCCGAGGTACTTCGCCTCATCACGGAACGCGACCAACACCGCGAGGCCCTAGCTGCCGCCTGTGACAAGGCCTTCACAGATCTGCTCGCCTCCATTTCTGCAGACTACCAGCCTCTTCGCGATGCCGTATCTGCTCTGGCGACCCTCGATTGCATTCTCTCACTCTCTAAAGTTGCTGCTCAGCCAGGCTACTCTCGCCCCTCCTTCCTCCCATCAACCGCCGACCCAACTATCTCTATTACCAACGGCCGTCATGCTATTGCTGAGCATACTCTTGACGGCGGTTACATACCCTTCTCTACCAGACTCATGCATCCTTCACCTCTCGCTCACCTCATAACTG